CTCCCCTCCCCCTCCTCCAATGCATTCCAGATGGAGCAAAGAGTTAAAACGACAACAACAATTTTTTAAAACAAGCCGTTGAAGAAAGTGGAACTGAATATCGATCAAACTGCTGGACCGGGAGAGGGTTTTCTGAGCTCCGAAGGTCCCGCTGAGGGAAAGGTGGCCAGATGACTCCACGCAAATGAAAAACTTATGTATGTGAAAAAAGGCAGAAACGGGAGAGGGGGGAAAAGAGAGCCCAGCCCAGACTAGAAAAATATTTTCAGCAAATACAGAGAAGACTTATACCCTTATGCAAACGGATGATTAAGAAAACAGAGAGCTGCCTGCGTTAGATAAATGGGCAGAGGCCATAAGCCACCAATTCTCCAAAGGAAGAAAGAGGACCAGTCTAACAAACAGAGGGGAGCTTTGCCTGCAGTAATCAAAGGAATGCAGGGAAAGCAGCCCTCAGAGGCCCCTCTCATCCATCAGCGCTCCCTGGGCGCAGCGGTGTGGGGCGCAGGCCCTGCTCACGTCCACGTCGGAGACCGCGCTGGCAAGCCCCTCGCGGAAAGCCATTTGGCAGGGATGTCAAAAGCCTTAAGAGCGTTCATACTCTTTGACCCATTAATTCCAGTTCTGGGAATGGGGCCTAGGGAAATAACCAGAAAGACAGAAAATGCTTTCCACCCAGCGTTATTTATGATAGTAAAATATTGGGCGCAGCCGGCACGTCCTGCGCTGGAGGAATGGTTAGGAAAATTATGGTTTGTCCGATTGATGGAATATTATGTGGCCATTCAAAATATTTAAGAAGACTGTGTAAAAACATGGAAAAATACTTATGAATGGTGCTACATTTTTTAAAAAAGCAGAACTTGAGGTTCTATAGACAGTCCGGGGTTTGAAAAACAGCTCCGGGTTTAAATCTTTTTTTCCGAGCCCAATGCATGGAAAGAGTAGGAAGAAATAAGCCTTTTTATTTCTCTCCCCTTTCCCGCAGTCTGGCTGGCTGGGTGGGAGTTATAGATGGACTTTTTTTTTTTTCTTCTTCTTCAGTGGACTTTTATGTATTTTCCAAATTTTCTTTAATGAGGTGTTTTATTTTCATAATGAAAACACAAACATTTTTTTAAAACGAGAAAATATCTTGTGATCCGGCAGCTTTACTTAAAATTGCTGACAAATAACGTGGCAGGG